TTGACCGTCCTCAAGACTTGGACGTCACCGTTTGAACACTCGGTGATTATCCATGTTTGTGTTCGTTTGGAGTTCCCGGAGGTCTCGGCTCGCGCGCCCCGCTTCAGGATCCCCGAACTTGACCGTTTTTTGTCTGGTTTTGCACCGAACATGTGGGATACCAAATCTATGGATTAAATCCTTAATGAATCCAATGACCTCAGTTTGGTCTACAGCTTTGTATGGCTTAGCTTCGACCCACTTAGTGAAGTAATCAGTGGCCACCAAAATGAAACAATGATGCTTCGAAGAAGGTGGGTGTATTTTTCCCATCATGTCCATGGCCTATCCTCTAAATGGCTAAGGCTTCACTACTGCATGCAAGTCAGTTATGGGCACATGCCTTATTGTGCCATGCTTTTGACATGCCTGACAACCTCTTGCATATTCTATGCAGTCGTTAAGGATAGTTGGCCAATAGTAGGAATGCCTTTGAAGCAACCATCTCATCTTTACACCAGGCTAATGAGCACCACAGATGCCTTCATGAACCTCAGCCATAGCTGTCAATGCTTCTTTTGGGCCTAAACATTCCAGCAATAGACCATCTCCCCTCCTTTTGTAGAGAGCATTACCATATATCATGTATTGCATAGATTGTAATTTAATTTTTCTACTGGCCTTCAAAGATGGGCCAGCCAGATACTGCATTATTGGATGCCTCCAATCTTGTTCTTGTAAGTCATTATGATTCACTTCCAGGACCACATTCCTTTTATTTAAGGGTGGTATTAATTTATGAAATGTTGTTTGGCTTATGTCCCTTTGAACATTATTTCTTCTCTTGAAATTCGAAGCTTTCTGAGCCACATCATTAGCTCTATTATTCAAGAATCTTAGGACATGAGTTACATTTGCTATTTGAAATTGAGAAAGCAAATGTAATGCAACAACATAGTGTGGCAGCATGCTTATACTTTGACATTTGAAAATCCCTTTCACTTGGTTAACCACCAATTGAGAATCTCCAAATATGTCAACTGCATGAACTTGCAATCCAATAAAAATTTCCAATCCCGTTATTAAGGCTTCATATTCAGCTTGATTATTAGAATATGTAATCTCATCCACCCGGAAACCATGTGTGGTTTCTACTCCTTGTGGTGATTTAATCACTATACCAATTCCAATTAGGCCATTGGCTTTTGATCCATCGAACCACATTTGCCAAGGCTCAACACTAACCATACCAAGTTCCATTATTTCTTGGCTTTCTATTTGAGATGGATGGTTTGCCAAAAAATTAGCTAAAACTTGTCCTTTTACTGCCTTTTAGGGAACATATTCTAAATGAAATTCTGATAAGGCTAGTATCCATTTGCCAATTCTTCCCTTCAACATAGGTCTAGATAACATATACTTAACCAAATTTGTGGTTGCAATTACCAAGACAGTTGTAGGCAAAAGATAATATCTTAATTTCATTGCAGCAAAATACAATGCAAGGCACAGCTTTTCTACAACTAAGTATTTACATTCACAGGAGTTTAAAAATCTACTAAGGTAATAAACAGCTTGCCCCTTGCCTTCTTCATTGTCTTGGGCTAAGAAAGATCCCAATGAATCCTCTACTGCAGCTATGTATAACTTCAAGGGCTTCTCACCCTTTGGTGGCATCAGCACTGGAGGGTTGGCCAAGTAGGCTTTGATTCCTTCGAAAGCAATTTGGTGCTCTGCTGTCCACACAAATTCTTCTTCATCTTTTAGCCTTAACAAGGAAGAAAAGACTTTAGTTTTCCCTGCAGTGTTAGAAATGAATCTTCGAAGAAAATTAACCTGTCCAAAGAACTTTTGTAATTCTTTCTTACTTGATGGAGGTCTAGCTTCAATAATGGCTTTGGCTTTATTCTGATCAATCTGTATTCCTTTCTGGTGTACTACGTAGCCTAAGAAGTTTCCAGATGATACGCCAAAAGCACAATTAAGAGGATTAAGCTTCAATTTGAACCTTCTCATTCTTTCAAAGGATGCTTCTAAGTGAAACAGGTGCTTTTCCATGGATTGGGATTTAACCACAATGTCATCAATATAACATTCTAAATACCCTCCAATGAGGTCATGAAAGATAGTGTTCATGGCTCTTTGATATGTAGCTCCAGCTGCAATGCAGATTTGGTTATAACCAGAGTGCCCATCCATCATTGATAAAATTTGATGCCTTGCTGAACTGTCTACCAATAAATCTACTATAGGCATGGGATACTCATCTTTTGGAGTTGCTAGATTTAAGTTTCTGAAATCAATGCATACCCTCATTTTACTATTCTTTTTAACTACATGCACAATATTGGATAGCCATTCAATACACCTGGCTATCATAATAAAGCCTTCCTTGAGTAGTCTAAGAATCTCCTCCTTAACTTTCTGAATCACTGCTGGACTCATTCTTCTTGGTTTTTGCTTGTATGGCTTGAAATTAGGCCTCATAGAGAGCCTATGTTCCACTAATGACCTATCAAATCCTGGTAGTTCATTATAAGACCATGCAAAACAATCTTTACATTTCTTCAGAACAACCAATAACTGGTCCCTGTTCAGAGCATTCAAACAAGCACTTATATAAGTGGGCTGTTGTATAGAACCTTCCCATAAATTTACCTCTTCTAAGGGGTCTTGTGTCTGAGAATTTACCGAAGCTTCTTCTTTGATTCCTTCTAGCTTCGAAGCAATCTTCTTGCTTTGTTCTGCTCCCAGATTCTTTAATTCAACATCTTTACCCTCCTGCTCATAGACAAAGTCTGTCCATAAGGCTTCTTCTTCTTGTATCTGCTGGACTTTTGTTTCAATGTCCAATGCACAATATTTGTTAAGGGCCAAAACTCTAGTCTGTTGCTGCTCCTGCTTGCTGCCAATTATCATGGCTTCTTTCTCTTGCTCTTATACTTTCTGGACTATTAATTTTACATCCAATATTGAAAACTTAATTAGAGCCAAAGACTTGGCTTCTTGTGCTTTATCTATTTGCCTACAACCAGGCATCATTGTCATCCTTAACGACAACCTCTTCATCAGCACTTTTCCTGGACTAAGTGCTTTAGGTGTGTCACCTCCTCATCAGTCGTCACTTCGGCTGAGCCATCAGGTTTCCTCAGTATACTGAGTGGTGTCACTCCCTCAATATACAATTTGGCCTCTGCGAAGTCTGCACAGGCTATGAAGGGTTGAGGATCTGTATCAATTTTCTCTGTCTCTCCATTGCCTAAGGCCATCATTATTTTCTGATGCAAAGAGGAAGGCACACATTTGTTAGTGTGGATCCAATCTCTGCCAAGTAAAGCATTGTATTTAGCATTGCTGTCGATCACGAAGAATGCCGTCATGCAGTCCCTGGTTCCCACACTCAGGTTGATGGGCAGAATTCCCCGAGCCATCTGTTTGTCTCCAGCGAAGCTAGCAATGGTTGTGCTGGTCAGGATTAACCTGGGGTTCCTTTTCCCTAATTTCTTCAAGGAAGATTTCGGTAGTAAGTTCACCGCTGCCCCATTATCTACCAAGACTCAGTTCAATTGTATCCCATCGAAGAAGGCCTTGATATACAAAGGCTTGACATGTTGTGTCATAGAGTTCGAGGGATACTCAAAAGGATATGAGAGGTTAATACTAACCTCTTCTTCACTCTCATATTCAGTTTCTATTAGGGTAGTCATTCCGGAATTATCTTGCACCATACTCACTTGTGAGTCTTCGCTAGAGACTGGAATTAGGTCAATTTCTTGCCCCTCTTGGTCCTCATCTCCAGCTTGGAATTCATGTGGTAATATGTGTACCATATCCACTGATACTGAGCCAAATTGAATGGCCGGCTGTGCCTGTTTCTTCTCTTGGCCACCTTGTTCAGTCACTTCAGAAGCATCTTCCATGCTGCATTCT